GAGCGTCCCTCCATGGAAACTCTCTAAAACATTAGGTGTCTGCTGCATGTGTACAGAGGGTTTTGGACATTTCTTGATTGAGATCAATGATGTGAGTTTGTTGAATGCCATCATGTGTGCCCAGGGCAGTGCCAGGAACTCCCATGACAAGGAGCAAATGAGTGCAAACGGTAGGAAAATAGCACATTTGTGTTGGATGGGCCAGAGGGTGTTTTGAAGGAGGGGGTCCAAAATGAAATATTGACATGCAAAATACACAGACTACAGGTGATGTTAGGAGGAAGCTCTGGGGCTGGGATATGAGTGTTTGCTACTGGGCGCTATTACAATAAACAAGAGGCCTGTGAGAATGACCATGTTGACAGAAATATCTGGTATAGAAAGGCCTCTATGTGTAAGGTGCCAGTAAGTCTTATGATCAGAACAAAGTAACAGGCCCGTACACTGAGGCTGGGGGTCTAACGCCTCGAACAGCAGGAAGACTCATTTAGAAGTCAGCACGGTTTGTCTAAGGAAGCCACTCTGGCTTCTATGAGGGCTGTAGCCTGAGGTCATGGGAGGTAAAAGTCACACTGAATGCCTTTTTCTAGAACCCAGAGTTGGTTTTTTGTGTTTTTCTTTGAGAAAGAAGTTGATCACATCAGTGTTTAGAAGGTCTTAGTGACCCTTGCATTTTGGCTTCATCAGTGGCAGGTCTGATAGGATAAGTGAGTAATATGTCTATATAAGTACATACCATGGTCAGAGCATACAAGTAGCCCAGCAGAGGGGGTGAGGGGCCTACAACGTCTATTTTCCATCAGCTGTAGGGACCCCTTCCTCAGCCTGGGAATTATGTCCATCAATATATGACCAGTGGCATTTTTTTTTCATATCAGGTACATGGGTCAGTTACTAAGTTAGCACATGGCAGAGGAGGAAGTTCCTTGCATTCTGCCTAGAGCTTTAGGGTACAGGTCTCTCAATGGTTTCATATTTCATGAGGCCACAGGGCCAACGTTAGTACAATCAGGTCTGAGGTGTTGGTATTAGTCTCAGAAACTTGAGTCAATTAATTGCCCTGAACATTGAAATGAGCCTCTGTAGTTTGAGGTTTAATATGTGCAGAGTTAGGAGTGACCTTGATTGGGTAATTGTGAGGCAAGATACTCCCAAAGTTCTTTATCCCAAAGGGGGCCACTTGGACAAGAAATTCTTGATGCTGTTGGTGGGACCAGACAGCAAGATCCTTGGCATTGGCCAAAAGAGCTGTGAAAACGTGCAGACAAATTTGACTCTGGGCCAAGGCTGATTCTACTACGAGTATGGTTGCTGGATTTGACTCACTGAGCTGATGCTTGGGTGCAGACTTTGATCACGGATGGCCTGTTGGATCTGGAGACAGAACGCAGCATCTCTCCAGTGGACTCTGTTAGGTGTGTTGGTGGCACCTAGCCCATAAAGTATGTGAACTCTCCTGGTCACTCATGTGATCCCGAGGAACTCCCCAAGTGTCCAGTGTGTCTGGAAAAGGGGTGATTTCCTCTAGAATGATCACATCACTCAGAGGACAGGGGAACACACTTTCTCCTGCAGGTGGGGTACAACAGAAGTCCTTTTTTGGTTCTATCCTGTGGGTCGCAATATCTTTGCAATGACGCGGCCTGTGTGATGAAGCAAGGCTGATGGGTCCTCCTTTCACAACCCAAGGGAAAGTGGAAAGCTGTCTGCATTGGAGCATCAGCTTGGGGTCCATGAGAGCTTCCATTTCCACAAAGATTGTTTCTGTCCCCAGTAGTGGCTGGTCTAAATGTGTTTAGCACCAGACTGAGAAAAGTTTCTTGCACCAGAACGTCCTGGGCAATTTATGGCCATCAGGGGTGACTGAGAGCCTCTGGGAGGCAAGAGAGGAGGCTGCTGAAGCCTCTGTGCTGTCTGGGGGCGGGGGAGACACCATGGAGTGCCTGTGATTTGGTCAGATGACAGAGCCATTGTTTCCCCAAAGTTGGTCGATTTAAGTATTTTAGAAGAAAGCAAGTAGAGAGGATAATTAAGGGATTGTTGCAGCTGAGGGGCACGTGCCCAGGACATGATTTCTGCCCTCTCAGCTCACAGCCCTCCGATGTGCCACAAATTTTCCTTAAGGGACAGGTGTGGATTTCTAAAGATGCTTCCCAAGTAAGCATGCAGAGCAGGCCCGAGAAGGGAGACTAAGAGCTACAAATAACGGCCTCAAACGGGCAATGGAAAGATGAAGCTGACACCCATGAATCAGGATGTCCCAGGGCACATCCAACCTGGGGAGAAGTGTGGGAGATGCCTGTACGTTTCAGAACCACAGAATTTCCAAAGACCTGTCCGTGAACTTGACTTAAACTCAAAGACAGAGTCTGGGAGCCCTCTCACTTCACTCCTAGTTATGAGTCTGAGCTGAGGGCAGGTGCAGCCCTAGGGGGAGTTTTCTCAATGAAGACAGGGCTGCAAGAAAGGCCTGTAGAGGACTGAGTCCCTCCTCCTGATCCTTCATTCTTCCTAAGAAAGACCCCAAGGTGGAGGAAAGAGGTGTTGCACATGTAAAAATCAAGGTTCAGGAGAGTTTAACATCCTCCCAGTATACAAAAGCATTTTTATTGTTGATTTTCTATTAATTATTCTGAATTGATCTACCTACTATTTTAAGTGTAGTTGTGAGCTATCACAAATGTATGGTAATGCTGCCATCACAAGATGGAGAGCACTCCATCACCCCAAAAGAAGACTCTTGTGATGCCCCTTTGTACCAAACCCCTTCACCACTGACTCATGTTTTAGGTCCCTATGTTTCCCTTTTCCAGAATATAATATAAATAGAACAATGCCATATTTCTAAAAGTGCATAATTTCTTGCACTGTTCTTCTAACTTTAAAATTCTGAAAGTGATTAGTTAAGTAGGTGGCGCACGTCAGGCCTTCAAAACAGAGATTCCACTACTATGAGCTCTGAGAGTGTGGGTGATAACCTGTCCTCCTGTGCTTGACTTTCTCATCTGTAAGATGGAAGGAGTGACTGGTGGGGCCATCAAATGAGAGACTAAGAACTATGAGATGACAATCTCTGCATTGCTAAGAAAATGTAAGCTAGCACGAAAACACGGACAAAGATGGGCTTTCCTTTGCTCTTTATTAAAACTCAACCTATTACTTGCGTATCCTCTTAGTCCAATAACATGTGCTGGAAGCCTAAGCACATAGAAATGACACCTGTGAACAGTAAGATGGGCTTTGTGGGTCATTGAAACAAAAAGCTTCCAACTACTCCTCTTACAGAGGCATCAGAAATTTCCCATTTCTCCTCTGACACTCAATTAGGATGTTACTCAAAATGACACCCTCTCTCTGCAGCTCACTTAATTATTCCTGGGATGGCTGCCTCTAACCAGCCAGAGCTCTTTGTGCTGTTTCCACGGGGAGATCACAGTGAACTCACAGAGATGTTACTGTACTCATAGAACTCACTCAGGATGAGCCAGAACAGGGCAGATGAAGGCAACATTTTCTCAAACTGGGAGGAACTCCAGGATTTAATGGGGTATTAGAGTGTGTTAGTCAGTATAGATGCAAAATGAAAATGCCAAATACTATAACACTTAAACTAGTCAAAGGTAAGTTAAAATCCTCTTAAATGATGATAAACACAAAAAGACACCACAAATATCTGTGGCCCAAATCAATGGCAAGTTTCAAGTCCTGTATATACCCATGTCCCAACTCATGATCACATATTATGTATAGAAAACTGTGAAAATGAAGATGAACCAAGTCTATACATTTTTGTGAGGAATCATCACTGTTAATCAAGGAAAGCAGGACTTTCTATGTTGCCGCCCTCTATTCTACACCCAAGCAGTTCCAGAAGCAGTGTTTTAAGATGTGTTACACAGTGGAAATTCAAGTGACCAATAATGACACCCTAAGTCTCCTACCCTCATAGAAACACACACACCCCAGCCTATTCTCCCACGTCATGACTTTCCTTCAAACCGCTTATGTCCAACTTATAAACCAAAGTTTTACCACTTGTTAACGCCCCCTCTTCCCCACAAATATAAAGACCAGGACTGCAAGGATTCGCTTCACGCCTCTAGAGCCCAGGCCTGCAGTGCCTTATTTGTGCTGAACTGGGTATGTTTTGAATCCATAGTGTCTGGCAGATGAGGTATGTTGAGAAATGTGCATCAATAATATAGTCTCTGAGAAAGAAAGCCTTGATTGGAATAGTGGTCCTGTCTTTCCCACTTGCAAGGTTTGTGTTCCCTCACAATTTACCCCAAACTTACAGGCCTGAGTTGAGTCATAAAGGAGATGTTAAAGGTATTACATACTTGATGAAGAGGTGAATTTATTTAACTGCTATTTATCCTGCTGAAGAGAAATATGTCACACATGTCCATCACCAGACAAAGCTATTCAATGATCATGATAGATCAGGACAAAAGTAAGGGTATTTTGTAACCATATCTCTAAAAATGGTAAAAGAGAATTCCAAACCATAAAAATGACCGACATTCCCCTCTTCTTAATAACACAACTGACTGGAGCTTCTTACAAATTAGGTTTAGCTCCACTACACTGCCCTTGCCTTGTGGAAAACAGTGATTATGATCATCAATGACAGAATAAAATGTACCTCCTCACAGCATTCACGACAAACGTCCTGCTTCCTTGACTAGCAATCAAATCACCTAGCAGAAGCCCAAATCCTAAGTCCCTCTGTGCCCTCTTACTGATAGAGGCACAGTCATTCAGGGCTTGTGCTCATCCTTATCCTACAACTCATCACAGCCCTCTGGGTGACTGCTAGTGTGATCCTGGTGGGTTTTCGCAAGATGGCACTGACAAAACAAATGAACGGGAAATTAGTTTCATGACAAAAACTGTAACTGTAAGACAAAAAAAAATTTACCTGAGAAATACCTGAAATTGTATACACAAAGTAATACTGAGTGAAAATATGTAACAATTAACTTGACGAGATTCAAAGCTGATCTGAAAATCCATTATTACAATATTTTATTATGTGCACAGGAAACGAAAAACACAATATTCCCAAGACACAACTACACACAACTACAACAACTGTCTGACAAAAATGCATTGTTTTTAGTCGCAAACATAACTGAAAATGTACTGAGGAATTTTGTACAGCTGTGAGCAATGGGAAACGTCCATCATCTGCCTGATGTGAGGAACAGGGATGGCCTGGGCCTGAGCAGTTGCTGCACAGTGCAGTGGAGGAACCAATGCCACGTGGTTCTTTTGGACAGCACCACTGTAGCTGTCACAGTGGAATCATGAACACACGGTCACAAGTAGTGTAACCAGAACAAGGTGTTTACTACACAAATTAGACCTTAAATGAACAGAATCTAGAGAAAATGGCAGTCCGAGCATCAGAGAAAACTCTAACACAGAAAAGTATGAATGAGTTGCCTGGTGGACACATGGAAGCTTGCAGGAAAATCCAAACTACGTGATCTCTGATGTGGAACTTGCGAGGATCTGGAGCGTGGAAACCCACACCTCTGACAGAGTGGAATCAAGCAGCTGATTGTGGTTTTGAGGATACTCTTGATTGGCAGGGCAAGGACTCAGGAAAAAAGGCTGGAACCAGGTGGCCTTGAAGCCGCTATGTGACTGTCTCTCTCCCTGTATGGTGGCTCCTAAATCCGCCTAATGCCTCGCTTGATTCTGCCTTCCAAATCTCACGCAAGTGAGGCTACCGGTGAATTCCAACACAGAACGATAAAGGAAACAGATTTCAGAAAATGTCACATTACCCAGGTGACAAAACAATTTAGGAGAGCCATTTCCAATTCTACACTTTGTTGTCCAACAACAGGTCTGTCTGAATGCAAAGTCTTATTATTTGAATCCCAGCCAGAAGGAACGACAAAGAGCAAAGAGAAAAAAACGGAAATAACTGACATGTGACTATACTCTATGATAAACTTTGCATATTTACAAATTTAAGCCATCTTTCATTAGCAAGCAAAATGGAATAAGGCTCTTCTGGCCAAAACAAGAGTTAACTTTCTCATTATAATAAGGTGAAATGTGTAAGGGATATCCAGTACCTGGCAGAGGAGGCCAGTAGGAAAGTCCCAACAATACCAAAATGTCACTTATCAATAGCCCCTTCCTTACAAAATAATTGAAACATTTTATAAAAATTAAACATACTTGTATATTAGAATAACACTTCAATTTACCTATGGATCAAACAGGTTCCAAATGGAAAGAGAAAAATATTAATTGATTTAAGGAGAAAACAATACCTATTAATCTGACACGATATTGCTTAAACAATATTTACAGAACTATCTCACTTTAATGTTCATTTTTTAAAGCAAGCAGTAAATACCCACAGTCCAGAGGTCCACTTCAAGAATGAGGCACTGGTAAAGAGAATATATTTATTACTATTATAATGATTCTTCCCTGTTATTGTTTTCTGGAATATTATACATGGATTAGCATATATCAGGCTTTCTCAAATTACTTATAGGATTTCTTGTAGTGGGAGTTTTCACATGTAAGGATGAAGGCAAACTGACGTCTTTCTCACACTGCTTACACACAAGGAGTCTCTATTCCACATGAGATCTTTCATGCCTTCGGAAAGAATTGGGCCGACTGAAGGCTTTGCCACATTCTTTACATTTGTATGGTTTCTCCCCAGTGTGCATTCTCATGTGTCCTCGAAAGGTAGTGCGATAAATGAAGGCTTTTCCACATTCCTTACATTCGTAGGGTTTCTCTCCAGTGTGAGTTTTTTCATGTGTTCGAAAGGATGTGTAACAACTGAAGGCTCTACCACATTGTTTACATTCATAGGGCTTCTCTCCAGTGTGAGTCCTTTCATGTATTCGAAATGAACTGGGAAAGTTGAATGCTTTCCCACATTCCTTACATTTATAAGGTCCATCCCCAGTATGCATTATCATGTGTGTTCGAACACTTGAGGGAGAAATGAAAGCTTTCCCACATTCTTTACATTTATAGGGTTTCTCTCCAGTGTGCTTTCTCATGTGTCCTTGAAAGGTTGTGCGATAAATGAAGGTTTTCCCACACTCTGTACATTCATAGGGCTTCTCTCCAGTATGAGTTCTTTCATGTATTCGAAAGGAACTTGGCCAACTGAAGGTTTTACCACACTGTTTACATTCATATGGCTTCTCTCCAGTGTGAGTCCTTTCATGTGACCGAAATGAACTGGGACAAATGAAAGCTTTCCCACATTCCTTACACTTATAAGGTCCATCTCCAGTGTGCGTTATCATGTGTGTTCGAATGCTTGAGAGAGAAATGAAGGCTTTCCCACACTCCTTACATTCATAGGGTTTTTCTCCAGTGTGAATTCTTTCATGTATTCGTAAACCTAGAGGAGAACTGAAGGTTTTCTCACATTGTTTACATTCATACTGTTTCTCCGCGGTGTGAGTCCTTTCATGTCTTCGAAAGGAACTGGGACAACTGAGGGCTTTCCCACACTGTTTACATTCATAGGGCTTCTCTCCAGTGTGATTTCTTTCATGGATTCGTAAACCTAGAGGAGACCTGAGGGATTTACCACACTGTTTACATTCATAGGGTTTCTCTCCAGTGTGAGTTCTCTCATGTGTTCGAAATGAGGTGGAACAACTAAAGGCTTTCCCACATTCTTTACACTTATAAGGTCCATCTCCAGTGTGTGTTATCATGTGTCTTCGAAAGGTTGTGAGCCACGTGAAAGCTTTCCCACATTCCTTACATTCATAGGGTTTTTCTCCAGTGTGGGTCCTTTCATGTCTGTGGACAGATTTGCGGTAACTGAAGGCTTTCCCACATTCCTTACATTTATATGGCTTCTCTTCATATTCGTGATACTCGTATGGTTTGTGTCCAGTGTGAGATCTGACATGCCTATTAAGGGATGAGTGACGCACAAAGACTTTTCCACACACGCTACATTTACATGGCTTTACTCCAGAAGTTTTCTTGTTCAGATTAAGGTCTGGAATCTGGCTGGCAGTTTCTCTGCACTGTCTACCTTCCTTGCCTTCACCAAGTTTCTCTACCATTTCACTTCTGTAAAAAATGAGAAGCACATTACTAATGATTTGTTAATAATTTTGTATTAGCGGGGTAATGAATTACATTTTTATAATTTACAGCAAAAGTGTAGATTTTCTGTCCTTTCTGAATTGTTTGAAAGCGAATATACTGAATAATCTATAAGAGGATTTGACTATAACTCTTACGAAAAGAGCTATTTATAAGATGGGGTTTCTTAATAATGTTTCAAGTGAATAATTTTGCTAACATAGAACATCTATGTCACACTTAAGCAAGTATTTTCAGTGAGAAAAACTTAAGGATAAATAAATTTGAAGCTGCTATTACTTGTTTTACTTGCTTGTTTTTAAAATTTCATGACACACTAGGATTCTTACATGGGACAGTGCTGTCTATTGTGTGACTCACCTTAGATTTTTCCCCTGGGTTTTGTACGTATCTGCAGTGTTATGACCTTCCCATTTTTGTCCTAAAACACAGACCAAGAAAAATGATGCCAAATTATTAGAAATTATAGAAAAATTATTAGATTCTTATCCATCATTAGCTGTGACCATGCCTAATTTATTTACCAGTGTCCTCTCTTTCCACATTCTATGTCTTGGAACAATGCTGATGGACAAGAAACACTTGTTCTCTAATGACGAAGAGAAGGTAAGTTGTCATCCTCACCTATAGACGCCAGGTTCCTGAAGGTTTCCCACATCACATCTCTATAGAGTCTCCTCTGTGAAGGATCCAGTAAAGCCCACTCTTCCCGGGTGAAGTTCACAGCCACGTCTTCAAAGGCCACTGAGTCCTGAAACATCACAAATATGTTTATAGTAGAATGCAGGAGACTGGCAGCAATGGACATCTATACTCAATTTATAGGAAGGCTACGTATGATTCTGTGGTCTCCAAACATTTATTTTACGTCTTGGTCATCAGAAACTTACTCTCTGTCCATGCTCACTTCCTTATAAATTGAACAGCATCATGAACACATGCAAATGATTTATGCATTTCTACTGTGATCACTGTAAATGTTATTGCTCTCTAATGGCAGGGTCTAAGCACCCTGGAGAAATGAGAGAAACGCTACACAAATGAAACACATCTTGTTAAGGACATCAATTCCTTGTGAGGAAAAACTCATGTCGTTCTGTATTACCTACCATTTAACTCAGCACTCCATGAAGGACAGGGTCAAATCTGCATGAGGTTTTAATGAGTAAAAACACAGTCAAGAACTGGAAGCTTTTTCTTCTATTCACATCACCAAACATGAGAGGCCAGGAGGCCTGTGGAAATCCAACTTGTAACAAGATTCAGCTTGTCATACGGACCTGAAGTACTCCAGGCCATCAGAAGTAGTCACATGCAGCTGGCTAAATGAGAATATCCTTGTGAAGCAGTACTTTCAATTTGTGTAATATTTGTCAAAACTTAGTTTTTCCCCTCTCTGTCTCATTTCATGGAGCTAGGGGGTTATTCAGAAGTTACAGTTCAGGGGCCAGCCCCATGGCCAAGTGGTTAAGTTCCCGTGCTCTGCTTCAGCAGCCCAGGGTTTCGCTGGTTAGGATCCTGGGTGCAGACATGGCACCACTTGTCAGGCCATGCTGAGGCAGCATCACACACAGCACAGCCAGAGGCACTCACAATTAGAATATACAACTATGTATCGGGGGGCTTTGGGGAGAAGAAGAAGGGGGGAAAAAAGATTGGCTAATATGCTCAGGTACCAATCTTTAAAAAAAAAAAAAAAGTTGTTAGAGTTCAGACAAGGTAGCATGATAGGACACGCTAGGAAGGCACGACAACTTAGACCTCCACACAAACCCTGTACACACGAGCCTCAGGGTGCTCCACACCAGTTTTTAGCACACACAGGCACACGTGCTGACATGACAGAGTGCTAGAAGAGATCTTTCTGTCAAATCCTAACAGTGTACCCTGGGCCTTGCTGCCTTTGAGGAACAAGCTAAGAGCTGCAGACTGCACGGGAGTTCACTGAGTCCATAATGGTTTGATGGTGAATCTGCCTATGATTATGAAATACATAAAGGATTCAGCAGTGAATTCCTCCAAAAGAACATAAAGTCTCCATTCTCTAATTTCAGGAGAAAATCCCTGACCAGACCTCCCAACTTCTCTTATTTCTGAATTCCCATATGGTGCACAGAAGCATAACAGCCCACCTCTGAGTATAGGAATCTAAGTCGATGGTATCATACTCTGTCAACAGGGTATGAAAAGGTTTATTACTTCCATAACTGAAGTCTCTGGAGAGTAAGGCAGCCCTCCCAAAGCAGGGATGAAATGAGAGCAAGGTAAGCTGCATGAACTTGCTTTCTTATTGAGATTGTGAGTAGACTAAAGTGAGAGTGCGCACACAAGGGCAGGAGCCTGCGTGGACGGAATCTTTCACGACTGCCAATGAAGGAAGCACTGAGGCTTTGTTATCGCCTTGGGTAAACGTGGGTCACAAGAGGCAGAAGAGTTGAGGCGTCAAAGCTGTCAGCAGTCAAACAGCAAACACTGGAGTCAGAGACTCTGTTTTGTCTGTCATACAATGAACTTAGAAGCCATCATCCCAACCTCATGAGAAAAAAGCAAACCAACTTAAAATGGACAAGTCTTCTGAGATCGACCAGAGAACTGAGGACACAAGGCAGACCACTGTCTCCAAAACTGGACAGAAAAGCTCTTTTGAAATACGCCCAGAATAGTCTATTAGTAAGGCTTGTATTCAAAAGAGTATTTTCACAAGAGCCTAATACAAAGACGAAAAAACACACACTATCCAAGAAGTTTGGGACAATGACAGCTGGTGTAAAATACACATAATGGAAATACTTGAAAGAAAGGCAGAAAGGAACAGAAGAAATAAGCGAAGCAATCATCACTCAGATTTCCCTAACATTGGTGATAGACAGCAAACTGCAGATCCAGGAAGCTAAGAGAACATTAAACACGAAAAACACCAGAAAATGCACACCCAAGCGTATCATATTCAAACTGGAGAAAAATCAAAGACAGAGAATACACTGAAAGAAGTCAGAGGAGAAAAACCTTAGTTATACTAAAACAAGGATAAGAATTAAATCAGACTTCTTTTCAGAAACCACACAAGCAAGAAGAGAATAGAGCGGAATATTTAAAGTGTTGAAAGTAAAAAAACTACTATCCTAGAATTATATGTTAAGCAAAATTATCCTTCTAAAGTAAGATAGAAATAAAGACTTTCTGAGACAAAAACTGAGAGAATCTGACATCAGTACACCCACTTGGCAAGAAATGTTAACAGAAATTTGGTGAAAAGGAATAAACGAAGGTAAAATATCTTTTTTCTTATTTGTACTTAATCTGACATATCACTTTGTTCAGATTAATAATAGTAACAATGTCTATCGAGTAATTATAGCTTACGGATAAGTGAAATGAATGACAACAATGTCATAGGGGACAGAGACTGAGGAACTGGGAAGACTCTGTCATGAGGTTCTTGCACAACCAGTGCAGTGGCACAGCGTTACCTGACAAAGGACTTGGGTTAGTTGTAAATGTATCCTGGAAACTCAAGGTAACAAAGTGAAAAACTATAACTGATATGCTAAGAGGAGATAAAATGGAATCAGGTAAAATGCTCAAAGCCAGAGAAGAGAAAAATGGTGGAAGACAAAAAGAAACAAGGGCAAAAAGAGTAAGAAGTATGGTAGATATTAATCCAACTGTAACAATGACCACTCTAAACATCAATGATCTAAACCTTACAGGTGAGAGACAGATACCACAACAACGGGTTAAAAAACCTCAGCTAATTATATATTGTCCACAAGAAACACACTTTAAACATAAAAACACAAGCAAACTTAAGATAAAGGATGGTGAAAGATCTACGATGCCAAATCAAAAGAAAGCTGCCAGAGCATGTTAATCTCAGATAAAGCCAGCTTTACAGAGCAAGGAAAACGCAGGGGTAAAGAGGGAATGAGACAATGGTAAAGGGGTCAAGCCTCCAACATAGCAATCCTCTGCGTGTATGCGCATTTTTAATAGAGTAGCAAATTACATGAGGCAAAAACTGATAAAATGCAGTGAGGAATAGATGCATCCGCTGTTACAGGTGGAGGCATCAACATCCCCGTCAGTAAGGCAAGAGTTCCAGCAGGTCAGAAAACCAGCAAGGACAGGTGAAGTGAAAAGCACCGTCAAACAACTGGTTTAACTGCAACCCATGGAACACTTCATCCACCAACAGCAAAACTTACATTCTTTTCAAGTTCACAAGAAACATTCACCAAGACAAACCACATCCTAAGACATAAAATACACCTTAACAAATCTGAAAGAACAGAAAGCATACAAAATATGCCCTCAGACCACAGCAGCATTAATCTAGAAATCAATAACAGGAAAATCCCCAAACTCACAGAAATGAACACTTCTAAGCATCATGTGGGATAGAAGAAGTCTTTAGAGAAATTAAAGACTATTTTGAACTAAATGAAATAAAAATAGAACATATCAAAGGTTATCTGATGCAGCAAAAGTACTATCTGGAGGGAAATTTATACCATGGAACAAATAAGCCAGGGAAAAAGACAGATCTACAATCAATAATCTAAGTATCTACTTGAAAAAACAATCAAAAGAAGAGCAAATTAAACCCAAAGTACACACACAAAAAAGAAATAGTCCAGTTCAAGACAGCGACAGAGGAGGGTCCTAAACTCACCTCCTCCCACAGATACACTCAATCTACAGCTACGGAGAGAACATTTCTTGGAAAAAACCCCCCAAACTAGCTGAGCCACTGCTACACACACTGGGCAAATAAGAAAAAACCCACATCAAAGTGGGTAGGAGAAACTGAGACACGACCTTGCCATAAACCCCAATCCTGGCACGGCAACTCACAATCAGAAGGGAACTCAACACCCCAAGCTTCTCCCCGAGGAGTGAAGGTTTTGAACCCCACATCTGACACCCCAACTTTTAAGACCTGCCCCTGAAGACAAGGCTCTAAAATATCGAGCTTTGCAAGCCAGCGGGGCTGGCATCCGCCAGACCTACACAGCTGTGAGGGCTCCCGTGAGCGGACTCCCCTGCCCCAGGGCCCAGCACAGAGGTAGCTGATGGAAAAGCATCCAGACTGTCTGTGAAGAGAGAACTCACTTATCTCGAAGAGTCAGGCTGAGGACCAGACATCTAATTTAACACACAACTAGGGACCTACTGAAACATTCTCCCAAGACAGAGGCCAGCGGGTGCAGCTCTGCATTCTCCCTCTGCCTCGCTCCAGCAGAAGGAGCTGGCACCCTGCTCTGATGCTCCTCTTGTTGCAGCTGCTGCCTGCCTCTGGAACACCTCTAGACCGCCTGGCTCTGGTGCGTAGCGGGGCTTATGCCTGTAGGTCCCAGAGGGCTGTAACAAACGGAGGAAGAGTTCTGAACTGGCTACCACCCTCAGGGCACAGCAGAAAAGCAACAGACTGAGGCCCATGGTTCTTCTGTGAAAGAGGCCTATTAGGCTTATCTTCGTAGCTACAGCCTGAGAGGCAGACACCTAATTTAACGCACCTCCAGGGGCCTCCTGAAATACCCTCCAAAGATGGAGGTGGGTGGGCACCATCTCTGTGCTCTCTCTGCCTTGCTCCAGCTCACTGGTGTCTTCTGGAGAGGAGCTTCTGCACTCGCCTGGTGCCCAGACTTATGTGGCTGCTGCCCAGGAGACAGCCCTAATCACCTGGTTCTGGTGACCAGTGGGGCTTCCATGCACAGGTCCCATGGGACTATAACAGAGCCAGGTCTTGGC